GTTTTGGTTCTTCGAGGCCGCGGTGGACACCGATCTCGTGGATACGCATGTGACCTAGAGGGTCAATGGGGTGGCTAGATGTGCTAGTGCAGTGTAGACAGTGAAGGCGGATGCGATGAGTGCATGCTGGCGCTTCAGGCACTGGTTCACCAGTGCGACGGATTCGCAAGTGACCGACCAGGCCGATGCGTGAGGCTAAAGTTCTATCCCAACGAGGACAGGAAAGGACCGAGTTCATATCACTGCCTGTGTCGGTAGTTAGGTTGATGATTGTCGGTGTGTCAGGATCAAGTGCAGTGGTGGTGAGTGCAGGAGCCGCCGCAGCGGATGAAGGAATACGAAGGAGGATGGATATTGGAGTCCAGGAGTGTGATCACTGTTGATTGTCTGCGTAGGGAACCAGGCAGAAGTGGACGGGGGACATCGGGTGGTGTCGACAGTGTGATGCAATTGGCTCGAAGATGTCCAACAAGACTAATTAGTGTCCGGAATGTCCGCTGGCATCGTGAGCATGTCGAGGCGGTTGACCGTTTCCATTGCGAGGCGGGAACAGTTCAGATTTACTAGCTTCGCGCCTGGCTTTCGCGGCGGCTATGAGTTTGGCTTCATAGATCGCTACCCTTGTCTTCACCACCATCCACTAGGCCAGCCGGTCATGAGCTATGTCATCTCAGTTAGCCAGGTTGATCAGCGCACGGCCCACACACTGGACACTGGACACAAATTTGCATGGGAGAATACTCGCATCGTTGGAACCTGCCGAATAACGAAGGACCGCGAATTTCTGGTGGCAATGCACTTAGATGAGGCATGCATCAACCGGCATATCGATCTAGATGCCGCATACGAAATCGTTAAGGACAAATTCAAACTGGCCCAACCAATCCCGAGATGACAAATTGCAATTAACACGTATTGGTACACACTCTAGCCAAGCATAGAATCCTTCGTCAGACTCAGTTTAGAATTTAGGTGTTTTTGCACATCTGTTGTCTGAAGACGAGCTGGGGAACCAGTCTCCAAAATTCGCATAATAAAGTTTACTGTTTCCCAAAGAATTTCGTCTTCCTAATTATGCATATATACATATGGGCTGGAAAAGGGGCATCCCAAGAAATTTAATTGAAGATAAGTAAGATTCTTTGGGAAGGGAATAAACTTTAATGAGTTGCGAAATTTTATAAACATATGTATATAAAATTTCGCAAGTTTTTAGGGTAGTACATGGAGTTAATTTTTTCGGACACTTCTTTTTACGATCGACCTCGAAACTGAAACGCAGACTTCGCTCGGAGGTAATCAACTTCCGGGAGATAACCGCGTAACGCTTAACATAAAAACACGCAGTGTCGCCAGAAATATACTATTATGTTACAGTGGTTTTGTGTACTTTCAACAACTACGAAATGGGTTATGAGTTTAACTTCGCAGCCATCAAGATAATCGCCCACGCCGGAAACAAAGCAGGCCTAGAATTAATTGAAGCCTGGACCTCGA